ATAAATATTTATAAATATTGAATTCTATGATATTTAATTTTTCTCGAAACACAATTCGTTTCTAGTGATGTTTTATTCGCCGCTTCGTTGAAAGAACAACAAGACGGAATAGCGTTCCATCACCTTTTCAATCAGTCAAACGATCTGGTTTACCTACTTACCTCCTAGTCTTTTATGTCGAAGTATTGTTTCGCGGCCAACACGTCACGTTTTATACTTTCATTGTTCGGTGTTAATTCCAGGGCAGCTTCTAGCTCGGGAATACCATGCTGAGGTGCGGACAATTTACAAAGTGCCGCGCCTCGTCGAGCGTGACACCTGGCTCTTGATTCTCGATTGCTCTCACATTTTGGTTCCATTAGTTCCAGTGCCTGGAAAAGGCAAAATAAACGCTCGATTCTGCTTGTACGAGTTTAAATGGTAATTCAAGCGAATGTACTTTAGAACAGTCTTCTATGCATCTGCAATAATTTCCCAACGCGTAATGCGCCGCTGATCTATTCACATAGAGAGATGACATTTTCTCGCTAATCTTAATCCCATATGAATAAGCGCTTATGGCTGCCAGATAGTTTGCAACTTTGAAAAATTCGCTAAACAATAAATAATTTTTTAATCTATAATTTATCAATATTATTATAATTCAATATGAAACGTTTATGAAAACATTAAACGTACTCTCCCTTATCTTTTAACCACTGTGGATCACGTTCTTCCGGTCTCAGATCTGCCGCATCGAATCCAATTTTTTCTCTCGCTTCTTTCTGTTTTCGTAACCACTGTAATTACATTGATACTTTGTATGCATCAATTTTAACGATAAAAAAATTAACGAAACAAAAAATAATACTTCTTCTTCTTCGACGCGAGAGCTTTCTCTAGCGGGTGTTGGGAACTTCCGATCCGAAAATGTCACGTTAATTGTACCCATTTTCCTCGGTAATGGGACCGACTTCGAAGGTACGTCAAATATATTATTTCTCCTCAAGAAGTTACCATTTATCGCGGCTTTTACAGCTTCCATTCCTGGTCTGCCTTTTTGCTTTTCCTCGTATTGTTTTTCGTTTGATTCCTTTTTCTTGCAACCCGATCGATCTTTGCAGTCTGATTCGGAATCTTCAGAGCTGGAATCAGTATTGTAGAAGAAACAATTTTTCTTCTCCGATAATTCCGTTTTAACATTATTTTCTTCGTTTTCACTCTCTGATTGCACTTGTACGATTTTTTTATCGTCCTCCATTTTCTCGTTTTCATTTTCCTTGATCTCATGTTTTTTCGTAGATACATAAGTGTCAAATATCTCTTCATCGGTCATTGGTCGAGATTTCAACTTGTCATCTTCGTCATTAAACCATTTCAATGGTGGTCTTGTAAAAAGAATATAAACATTGTAATTTGAATTGAAGAATATAAAAAGTTATAATGTTTATCGTAATTCTGGTACTCGTAAGTTTTCCTATTTTCTTGTACTTCTCCTTTAACGTTCGAAAGAATTGGTAATTCAGCTTTCGATCTCCAATCTTCGAAATCTCGCATGGCCTCCTTCCGGTGTGCGTCTCGTATCGCGTCGATCTTATTCAGTATAGTTGTGTTGACGTTGATCTGCTCTTTTACCGCTTCCTTTTGTAAACGTTGACGTTTTTCTGAGGAAAATTACCAGCCATAAGCCACTGAATTTACGCAACACCTAAATTTACCAGTGTTTGTTACCCCTTTTAAATTTTGCTCTTTCCTCGGCAAGCTTATGAGCACTCTCTAAAGCTTGATTTCGACAGTCTCGCTTGAAATCTTTGTCGATATTTTGTACTTCGAGGGTAGGCCATTCTATATCGATATTTGTTTTGCGCAGAGTAAGTATCGCGTCTTCTTCAGTTAGAGTGCATTTACTTTTATCTTCGACAATATTACCCCAAAGAAATAATTCCAATATGTACGGTGGAAAACTCACCTGTTAGTTATTAAACATTGTAATACATACAATGTAATTTGTTATCGTTAAAAAGTTAAGTGATATTTATACCTTCGCATAATTATCAATTACAAACAAGTCAACCTTTTTCGGATGACCCCTCAAAGGTACGTTTAATATCACGAATTCTGAACACTGACGCCAAGTATAATCTTTGATGACTATTGTTGGCATTTTTTAATTGTAATATTAAATAGAAGTTGAGAAAAGTGTACTATTAATACTCTAAATGATCACCAACGCAGTTTTTCCTTTTGCACGATTTTTAGTATCGGAATACTGATATGTATTGATCAAACATCTTTCGATATATATCGTTTCGTTTGGATATTGTCTTAAATGTTAGGTTAAGAAAATAAAATTTCAGATTGGGTTCTATCATCATTATATTTGCGATGCATTTTCGTACATAAAAAAATTCCATTCTAAATACATATATAATATACAATACAAGTATCGAATATTTCTTTCAATACCTTAGTCACTAGGTAAAAAGAACGAACTACGAATATATTGTATGAATTATTTTTAATTAAAACGTTTAAGAGTATTTGTTGACAATACTTTTCATAGACATTATTAAAAAGCTGCCATTTATGCAACTGACATTCTGTGTCTTTACCCATGGAACCATGATTTTCTCTCTTCTGAGGAATACTTTAAAATTATTGAAAAATGTATGAAAACATTCAGATATTATGCAGCTCCACATAGGTGTACAAGTTTTGGTTCTACAATTACTTTTGGACAAATGGCATTTCGTTACATCATCATACCTAAGCCATTGTTCGAAAATCAACTACAAAAACTTATTGTAAATCAGTCGGTTTTTATCAAACGTCTGCTCCTACGAAATCACAATAGTTATTTAAAAACGAATTGCAGGACGTTCCAATCCTTTGAAAAATTTTTTTTCGTTCATTGAACACACGTATATCTCAAAACATATTGATGATTATACCCTGAGACGCAAGAATGTTAATATTGATTTTTTTTTTTATCAGTTCCCACATTTCGTTGTACATAACAACAAAAATAACAATAATTAATTGCTTTCAAGATACTGTGATACATAGTATTATTAAAAAATGGAGGACCTTTGATAAACGCTTAAGTTAAGAAATTAAAAACTATTCCCTATAAAGATATTATGACACTACAGTTATGCCTCATACACGCCTTACGACATAATCATTTTTTGTAGATTACAATATTAGTGATCGTTCATTATATAATATTTACATTGTGTATCAATGCTAAATACTTTGTCTGTTTAATTGCTCCATGTAAAAGAAGTTGTTTTTCTTCAAGAAGAAAAACGTTGTACACTAAGAACGATATAAAGGAGGAACAAAGTAGTTAACATTGTACAAAACTTTTTTTAACACTATTATAAATAAGTATACGTACGATACGGTACGTTTGTCTATATTGTACCCAAAGGAGTCCCGTAAACATTTGAACAAACATTTAGAATGAACTTTTGTTAGGATACTAGTTTGGTATTAACATACATTACTTAATACGCAATGTATCCATACACTATTCACGCATACATAGGGACTCAGTTCAATGTATAAGAGCTTTCATAGTATTTCCTTTTACTTGTGTATTAATATAGATAAAATTATAAAATCGCATGGAATGTTTGAAGTATACAAAACGCTAAAGAAGTTCATCACATAATTTAAAAATTATCGTCGCAATAAAAATCGACGTTGTGCAGATTTGTAGTATTTAATTCGCAGATTAACACAGTAATACAAATTTTGTTACGATCAGAAGGAAGAAAAATTTTAATATAAATATCAAGATGGTGGCAGAATAGAAAGTCATTAATACTTTATTTGATAATGGTTTAAAGGAAATTTATATCTTTCTAATTACGCGTAATGTAGACTGAGCAAATTTATATGGAATAAATACAGATGAATAGAATTATTTCATAACTTGATCAATCTACAATTAAATGTGCAACACATGTACTGTATTGACAATTACAAATTCGTTGATATTTCAATGATGTACATAGTAGAGGACAGTCACTTTTCTCAGCAATAGTTACACTTTAGGACTCTATTTTACTAGCATTTATATTATTCATTATGAAAAGTTGTTACATAATTAAATTGATAGTAAAAATAAATACAGAAACGGTACATTCTAGTAACATGAAACTTATGTTTCTACAAAAGTATACTTACAATTATAAAAAAATGTTTAGATAATTAAAGTTTTATTACAATTTACCTAAATGGCTTGGATTTTATACATACATATCACATGCACACGTCTGGCATAATAGGCATGCTCCCACATTCATTCACGTTCTCTTCCTCGAACTGTATTCACTGTTACTTTATAAATAATAATTAATACAAATACTACAAGAACGGTAAAGTAGCATGAATACAAAGATTATAAATAAATGCAAAAATGTGAAGATCAAAATTTTATAGTTGAGTATAAATAATCAAAATTTTTACGACTTCGGATAGTCAAAACTTTGAATGAGAACATTTAGTGAACTGTGACTGCTTATGTGTACCATAGAATTAAATACAGACGGAAGAAGTGAAAATACATTACGAATATCACTGGAATATCGTACATAAAATTTGAATATGTCACCGATTTTTTGTGCAAAGTTATTGCATTTTATATAGGACATAAGTACATTAATGTACGCACAAACTATTTTTTTCGTGCTGCTTTTTCTGCTTTTCGTCGCATCCGCTCGATTTCTTTCCTTTCTTTGCGTTCCCGGTCCGCCTGTGCCCTAAGTTCTTTCAATTTGCGTTTCAAATGTGACTTCTCTTCTCCACAAATACCAAAAGCTTTCAGGTCGCGGGATTCGAGTCGTAAAAGGTTGCCGCCATTAATTCCAGTTTCCAAAAATCGTGATGCATAACGATCCAAACCAATTCCTGATAACCACTGACACACCTAATGCAATTTTGCAAGTTATAAGTGTAAATTAAATATGACAATATCACCAACACGTTTGTGGCATTAATATTTCATTAAATAAACGTAGAAACTTACTTGTTCTTTGGACCAATCGGTAACTGGTGCATTCTGCCAAAAGTGGGACTTCTTGTCACCTAAACCAAAGTCGCTTGGATGAGGAGGCAACCAAACTTCACTCGTATCTAGATTCATAATATCGTTTATACACGGGAGGGGTAAAATTATGACAAACAAAATGTATAAAAAATGAAGAAAAGGGATCAAAAAACGTTCACCATTTGCGTCGTATCGCGAATACCTGAAATACCTGTTTTAGACGGACTAGGATCAACAGCAGGTGGGCTCACTGATCCACCAGAAGATAGACTAGAAGGTGAACTACCTGGATGATGCCAAGGCGTGGAACCGCTCATTAAATTTGATGAAGGAATAGTGGCTTTTTTAACTGCACAGGCAATCAAAGGAATTACTTTTATATAGTAAAAGTTATATATTAAATTGTTACGACTTTTACTTTTATTACCTCTTTGATTGGCCTCGCTTACGGCTTGTCGTATTTCTTCCACTAAGTGATGTGTAACTAAAGTTGGATCACTAGAATGTGGATTATTTAAGTCACTAAAGTCGCCGGAACTTTCCCTCGATGAAGACATATCATTTCCACCAAGTCGTCTTTCTCTTTCAGCTAAAACTTGCTTTAATTGTTCTGCAAACGATGCTGGAGGTCCAGTTAAATCTACGAAAAATCAACGTACAATTTTATATATAATGTTTTATATAAATTGCATTTAAAGTATAACCGAAGAAAGTACTTTTTTGGGATTGTGGCCAACTTTGTTCTGTCATAGCTCTAACTTGTGAACTAATAGTACTGTGTAGTCGAATAGTTGTTGGATGTGTAGGTTCCATATGTTTACTTTTCAATGAACTAATCGAAGAACTACTGGAATAGGAACTCAAGTTTGATTGTTTCGATGTCAAGTCATTTGGCGATCTGCTGCTTGTGTCTTGAGAAAGTAATTTGGACGATGAATCCTCATCAGTATTGTCACCCGATTCATCCAAACCATAGTCCTAAAATGTGACATGATTAAATAATCACCTCTTCTTCTTCAGTTTAATAATGGTACGAATGTACGCACAGAACTGCTATTACTAAGGCCACCAGATCGTTTAGGAAGTTGTCGATTTGCAAGTCCTCCTCTACTGGCAAGTTCAGCTTTACTCTTTCCAGCAGAATTGTCAAGAAGTCGATGAGCAGGCACTGCTCGATCTAGTTCCTCCTTGACTGGCAACGGAAGTGGTAATTTTCTCTCGACTGTCGCCGTTTTATCACCATCATCAGGGCTGCTAAGATCCGATGTTTCTGTGTCTGAAAGTTGACAACTGGTTGACGAAGCAGGAGGAGGTAATTGTCGTCGAGATAACTGTGGTGTAACAATTCTAGCCGTTGTTCCATCATAAGGCAATCTTACTGGCAATCCAAACCTCCTTTGTGTCTCTGTCAGTTCTACTTCCAATGTGATTACCTATAATTATTTATAATTAATTTTTTTGTTGTACATATATTGTTTTTGATATTGATTTGTACTTTTTAAGAATAACACACCCTATCTTTCAAACTTTTAACAAGAGCATTATACTCTGTATCCTTCTCCTGCAATAATTGTTGATAGAACTCGTCTCTAGCGGCAATGTCTGTGCGTAATTCGCGAGCTGCTCTCCTTGCTCGGGCATATTTTTGTTGCAAAGCAGCATTTTGTGCTGTTGCTTGAGCAAGCATTTCTCGTGCCGCTGCCAAATCTTGCCTAGCACTGCTCAAGGCTCTTTCAGATTCATGAAGTCGTAAACCAGACTCGCGCAATTTTGCCGCATATTCCTCGCTGCCAGCCCCGCTGTTTTCTAAATCTACAAGCTACAAACAAAAAAAGATTTGCAAACAATTTTATTGGGAATAGTGTATATAAAATACACACACGGGTTAATATTTGTCGAGCAAACCGTTCTATATTCCTCTTTGTTATTAGTGATAGCGTTTAAAACATGAAAACTATATGAAATAATATGAGGGTAACAAAGTCATAAGAACATACATTAAGCTGCACATAAATTCATGAGTACAAGCATATGATACACAAATTGCATTCAACAAACGAAAATGATATAAAATTGCTTGTCTTATGTGATTACCTTAGCTTTGAGTTTTTCCACCTCTCCATCTGCTAATGCTAGTTTATACTGACTCTGCAAGCAGTGAACAACGAACACAGTGCATAAGCAAAACCAAAAATATATTCACGTATATAAACCTATGAGGGAGTGCTCATGTGTTTATAAAATAGCAACATATATACATATATGTACAATACATTATAGTGCATATCTTCATATCAATTGATCTATTGCATTCTATACAGTAGTGTTTTACATAAAATTGATAAAAATGAACATGACACTAAATATTTTGTGATCTAATGAAATAATACAAAATATGTACTAATAAAACGTCGTGATATTCCTAATTTATAATATCGTTTGTGATAAGCAATGAGACCATAATATATGTTTCTCATTAATTACGTATAAGAGAAGAATAACAAAATTTACAAATGAAAAATGTTTCAACTAAATCAGCACGCATATAGGAAATTGCAAATTACATATACTTTTCATACTACATATTTTTTCTTATTGTAAAAAATACAGTACCTCTTGTAAAAGCAGTCTTAAACTGTCAACATCGCTTTGTGTCGTGACAGATGGTGGCATCGATGAACTAATAATAGGAGATCTACTCCGACCGGAAGCAGATAAGTAATTTTCTATAGGACTATGAGGAGGTTCTCCTTCTGAACACGAAGACATAGCTGGAGAGCCTGGAATGCCTCCCATACCTCCGACAGAAACATCTTCGCCACCGCGTTGACTATCGGGCGAAGTATCCGAAAAATTAAGTTTTCTGTACAAATAAGCTTGCTTGAAATTATTTTAAACAATTTTCATAATCTTTTAGTTAGTCTAAAATTGATTTCCCTCAGCGCTCCAAGAGGCAACGCGCCGTCATTGGAGTGGCCGTAAATTATCGTCATAGACATTAGCGAGCAAGGATAAACCATCATTGGGAAATCATTCTTAAACAATATTTTGTTGATTTAAAATCAGTTGATTCATACCTAGCAGAGTTAGCTTGTTGTTCTCTCTCTTTGTCAGCTTGAAGACTTTGTCGAATTAACATAGCTACTTCTGAGTTTGGATCACGTTCTCTGCCAATTACAAAACGTACAAGACCTGAAGTATTACGTAGGACACTAGCTGCATATGCTTGTGTCACGCCAACCAAAGATTTTCCATCCACTTCAACGATTTGATCGTTTACTTGTATTCTGCCTTCTCGTGCAGCTGCGCCTTTTTCCGTGATTGTTTTTACGAATATGCCTAATTTCTCAAGTCCCGCATCCGCACCAACGCCCATTCCAATAATACTTAAACCAAGACCTTCTGGACCTTTCATAAGCTCCACGGGAAATACCTGACCAATTTTTGTTAATATTGCGTAAATGTTCAATAAAACATAATCAATATTGATTTCAAATACATACCTCCATTTTTTCAACTCGCTTTTCGAGTTCATATTCTGCGCTCGCAGCAACAGGATCTACATCTTCATTTCGTCGATCATATTCATTTACTGAATGTGTTGAATAGACTCTCATTGGTCTTGTATCAAATGAAACTTTGGACATTTTTTTAACAGGTATACTTATCAGATAATCTTCCTTCTCTTCATCTGATTCAGGTATTCCAGCCACTTCCATCCAAAAATGACCATCCTCGAAATAATGCACACCATTTTCCACGAGTATCTAAATAAATATTGCAGTGTTTATATATGTTTCATCTTTAAATTGAATTGAATTTAAATGTATTTTATTTATCTGTGAACTTACAACTTTGCCTGGCGTTGGTGGAACGTACTCGTCTTGATGTTCAGTTTCTGTATCATCGTTAATTTCATAAGTATCGTTCAAACTATTAACAGATCCAAGTAGACCACTTTCACTACCCGTTACAGAACCCACTTGACTCTCCGTTAACGAATCTATCGTTAAATCGCTACGTGATCTATGGGACAAACTAAAAAATCGCAGGCGTTTAATATTTTTTAATCAAGAATCGTTAGAGCTTTATGTTAAATCATATCACGCATGTGCAATTAATAAAAGTAATTAAAATCAATACATAACATCAGCCGCAAAATAGTTTTATAGAACACAAAAAACAAAAGACCAAACTGATTCACCTATAATCATTAGTGGTGCTATTAATAAGACTGCTATCAGGAGCAGACAAGACATCAGAAAGCCAATCTGGTGTATTATCTTGATCTTCCTTCTCCCTTTCTTTGTCCATTTCTCTATTTTTATCAATAGAATTTTCTTCACTTACAACTTCAGTATGTGCAGTAGGAGACAATAATCTTGCTATTTCCTGAGCTTCTTCATCCGACAATAAAGCTGATCCTTGTCTAATTGATTATTCACATGATTCACGATGCTCTTTCACAATTTAATGTCATGTTCAATGAACTAAACATTTAACCAAGCAATAACGATTAACTCACCTTATTTTTTTCTCTAGGATGCTGTGTTTAGTCCCAGTACAAGTTTGTTTGAAGTCACATTGAAATAAACATGAATAGAAGAAAACATTAGAATTTAAAATAAGAAAATAAAAGTTATTAAGCTGTTTGCAAGTTGCCATGAAATGATTTGCTAAATAACTAGAATTATCATAATTATAAAATATAGAGATGTGTTTGAAAAAGATTTATATTAAAGTTTTGGTGCATTATATACTTTTAAATGTATTCATTATTATATACAATTTTTACTATTTTATCTTGCAATATTAATTTTAACTTAGTCAATAAACTTACCGAGAACTTAGCAGGTTCTCTGCTTCATCAGCTGTCATAGTATCTGGTGTTATAGGAATTGTTGGATTTACAATCACTTTAGAAAGAGTTTCTGTTGCAATCTTAGAATCATTTTGTTCCATAACATCTTTCACATCTATTGTTGGTGCATACTCCAAATTTGTAATAGTTTTGGTATCACTGGAATCACTGTCATCATGAATACTACTCTCAGATGTAATATGATCATTTAGTTGCTTTTTCTCCATGTGTTGTTGAGTTACAACAGCAGGTGACACGTTTTGAGGTACATGAATTTGTTGTACTGTATTTGCAGAGGTATTTTCCTGTAATCTCAATTTTGCTAGCTCAGCTTTCTGTTTTTCCTGTTCCCATGTTGTCTGTGGTTGATCTGATTCTTCTGTACCTCTGTTTAAAACGTTACTTATTGTTTGGGAACTGGGTTTAGGTGGTGGCACTGTATCTCCTGCCAATGTTTTATATTCTTTTTTATTACTTGTTTTCGACACAAATTTGGATGTATTTTCTGAATGTGCGGCATCGTCTAATTCTGTCTCTTTATTACTGAAGTTTTCCGATAAATTTTCAGTACTATGTACACTTGAAACTACTGAACACTGAGTTGTGTTTAACATGGCCTTTTCTGTTTGATCTGCTTTATTATCCACTTCAGCAAAACTGGAACGTTTTCCGGATACTTCTTCCTTATTTTTTGCTATCTTTTCACGTACAGAGATCTTTATTTGATCATTTTTGGCATTAGATACTGTTTTCTGACACACAGTTTCAACAAATGTATGTCTTTCATTGGCAATATTTGATTTTGACTTATTATCTAAGACTATATTTTGATTTATTTCTGTGATCACTGAATTCATTCGTATATGATCTTGATTACTATCTTGAGATATCTTATTATGGCAACTTTTTGTTGAATCAGTTTTTATTAGCGCACTTTCTTCTACGTTTGTTTTCATTTGCGGCTTAACATCATTGTTTTGAGTACACACTTCTTGATTTTGTTGTATTTTCTTTACATATGGCGAAGGTATTGGAATATCCTTGTGTTCTAGAGGTGGATATTCTTGATCTGAACTAATAACGGATGGTGGTCGTTGTCCCAACCCGGCAGCTTGAAGATCAACACGTACATGAGAACGTCGAATAACTGTAGTTGTATCTGGTTCGTTGAATCTTGAATTTTTTTCTAAACTATCCTTCTCAGTAATAGATTCCGTATATGCTGCAGGTTTATCTTGTTCTTCCGGTTGCAAGTCATAACTATTACGACCTTAAAATATTAGAATGTCGATAGTTATTTACAATAAAACGTATACATATTAAAATTTACGTAAATCGAGTTTTAAGAGAGGACATTATAAAATACCTCGGCAATCAATGCAAAGTAGTCGTAGACACATGGTACTTGTATTCTTTTGTGTGTGGAGAAATAAAGAATTTATAGAATTAAAGTGAAGATTCGCGTGCACAATTAAAAGAAAACTGTTTAATTTTTTTTAGAATGAAACTACAATTTCAAATCCTTTGAAATTTACCATAACATATATACAAATTATATTAGATACACCAGATAAAAAACACATATTTTTAACAAATTATTTCAAAAAAGTAATTTTTAGAATTATGTTAAACATTTTTAAATTTTTAAACAATGTTTTTAAGATTTTTTCAAAAACACGTTATAGGAGGATAAACTGCACAAACTACTTTATACATTATTCATATGTATCTTATGTAAATCCACTTTTCATAAAGTAAATACTTTATAAACAGTAATAATTTCTAATAAATGTTCTTTTATGAGTTCTGGTAAGAAGATTATTAAAATTTTGTAAAATACTTTTCTGAAATAAATGGTGTGAAGTAGAACCAGACAGAAGCAGAACAGAATACACAGGTTTCTATAAATAATACTGTTGAACCGGTAGGAGGAACTAAGATCAAGAAGAGGAGGAAAGGGGAAAGGAGGAGTGTTTCCTCCTGTACTGTTACTTTTTAGTATTTTGGCACACAGCCACATTAAACTTGTAAAATTTCGATATATTATGAAATATTTTATAATAATTAAAAGAATATAGAAAACCCAATTATTCAACAATAAATTTAAATTTGATTTGTGTATTTGTACATACGTATCAAATGTATTTACTGTTACATATGTCTGTATAGATGTGAATCATGTTATTGAGAATTATTCACATATACTATACCAGTTTGAAATTTTTCTGACATTTCCTTATCTGCCTTCTCTTCTTTACTATCCTTGGAAGGGGAGCTAGGGGAGCTCATACTAGAAGAAGCACTATCCGTACCTCCAGAAGGTGGTCTTAATTCCGGGTCCGGAGATTTTGACGGCTCTATTTTCCTTTCTTCAGTCAAACTATCTTTCTTCCTCACTGTATTTATGCATGGTCTGGCCCAGTCTGGTCTTGAATTAGGTCTTATGACTTCATTTTTGGTTTCTAAATCTTCCCTAGAACACTTTAGATCTGCTGCCTTCTTTAAAATTTCGTCGGTCTTGGCTAACCATTCATTTCTCCATTCAGATGTTTTAGCTGGTGAACGTATAACATTTGAAGGATAATTTAGATACTCAGGAGCATCAAGTAGGTCATTATCATCTTTTCTCGTTTTATTTTCCACCGCATTACTAGTAATATTTTCTATCGACATACTCCGTGTTGGACTAGATATATCAGAATTTCTTTCATAAGGAGAAGCAAGTGATTTTGTTTGTGAATAAATATCGACACTTGAGCTTGCAAGAGTATTTTTAGCTGGCAAACCACTGCTGTCCAAATTGCTTAAATTTTTTGAATGTTGCGCGGAAGTATTTTTCGGTACTTCTGCATTTCGTGAAACTACCTTAGCTGCATTATTCTTCTGTACTACTGCATATTCAGGTATGATTATATCTTGAGTCCTTTCTTGTGCAGGAGTAATCGCATTTTTTGAAGTTTCCCATTGTTCTTGATTTCTTTGGAAATGCTTATTTTGTAAATTTGTATTTTTTTGTACAACTGCATATTCAGGTATAGTTGGTGAATTATCAAAATATTTACTTATAGTGGCATATTCTGGACTGCTAGGAATATCTGGTGGAGATACTGCAGCAATACTGGCTGGTCTTTCTTTTTTTACATTTGAAGTAGAAGAATTTCTTGTTGGTGGTGGTGGTGGAGGTGGGGATATGGCTGATGATCTAATAGAGCAAAAGCTAGCAGATCTTGTTGCTGGATTAGTAGATATATCTGTTGGTCTTTTTGCTTCACCATCAGTACCTGTAGCATTTTGTATATGTCCTACAGAAGTAGTATCAATATTCACTTTATTTGCACTCTGGTTTAAAGAACTTTGTACCACAGATCTATTTGGATCTGAATTATATCTGCTTGGCCTAGTTTTTGAAAAGTGGCTAGTCCAATTTTTCTGCTTTTCAATTAATTCCTTCGAGTTCAATCTCCTTTCAGGTTTTTCCGGTTTCTCTGGCCGATCGTCTAATCGATTTTCTTTTCCGTAATTTTTATCAAATTTCCCTAACCCTGCTCGTGATTTATGTTTATCTGGCACATTATCTAAACCATGATTATGACCATTTTCAAAATGTCTTTCAGCATTTAAAGCTGGAACACTGGCACTCCAATTACTCAAGTGATCTCTAGTTCCTGGAGGTGATGGTGATCTAGGACGAGGTGATCTAGCTGGGGATGTACAGCCTGATCCAGAATTTGCAGAACTTGACCGTGATCTTAAACCATGTAAATTAGTAGGTTTTGTAATCCTGTCCACCCTACACAAAAAATATATTTTAGAAATATTTAGTTTACTTATCCACAGATTATATTTCCATTTTATGTTATACACTTACGGTTTATTTGGTTTATTTTCTTCTCCAAGCTTTTCAAAAAGTGCACGTGCATTATTAAACCGGGCCACATGACTTTCAGTTCTAACAACTGTAACTTGTGTAGGAGACTCTTTTAAAGGCACAGCTGGTTCCTTGAAACCATCTGACAGAATATTATTTGTTCTATGGCTTAAATTATCCAATTGTGGTTTCGATTGAAAGATATTTGCAATGGCTGACACCTTTGAGCCACCAACACGTTTCTTTTCTTCCACTGTTGCCATGACTAATTTTCCCTAATGGAAAAATAAAGTATACTATTTTGTATAACATGCATAACACTTATAAACTGCTTTAATTACTTAAATTCAACAATTCTTTCTATAAAAACAATATAAAAAATTTTAAGTATCACATATTAATATTACCTTCACCTCTCTTGTATAAAAATTATGAGAGTTTTAGTCTGATATATTTCAGCCCATTGTCATTCATGTATTTTTTATATTCACCATCTTTTTAATGATCTGAAAAAAACATAATACACTAAGGTTTAATATAAAAGCAATTAATTCTACATGAAGTAACCCAGCTGCTATAACTTGACACTAATTATATTTATGCATAAAGATATTGTGTATCTACATATAAATTGAATGTTTACAGCCATTAAACATTTATACAGGTCATTGGTTTGACAACACTCAAAATATATCTTTGAAGTGCAAAGTATTGTGTGTATGATGTTCTTTGTTCTTTGATAACATTAGTAGAGCATTTTATTATGCTACATATCAGATATATTTACTGTGATTGTCTGAAATGATTTAAGTTAGACTTAAATGGAAGGCATAGTATAAAGAGGTGGGGTCTTGTCTGGGCTTCACCCTCCTCCTATTGCCATAGCACACCATGCTCCTGCAATCAATACTTGAATCCTTTCTCTGTAGTTGAAGTATGAAAAGTGGAAGTATGCACATGTTATATTCTTATATTATATACTTTGCATATAATGTATACATCTTTTATAATAATAGGTTGAAGTTAAATGTAGCTTAAAGTAAATAATAAAGCTAATGTAGCAAACTTTCTCTCATTTATACTATCTTTTTACAATATTCTAAGTACATCACTTGAAAACAATAAATTAGCATTTTTATAATAAAATACAAGTAAATTAAATAATAAATTGTGAGCTTCTCACAGTAAATTAATAATTATGTAAAAAAATTCAATAAAAGTAAAGCCAGTAATATTAGCTGATAATCTTTACTTATTCTTTTTAAATCTGTTCTATTTTACTAATACTGTCAGTTGTATTAAGCAAAAGTAAAAATAATGTAACTTATTCTATGACTGAAGGTATATGTGATTATTACTGAAAGTTATTACATTAATTATAAAATGACATTCATTTACTATGTAAAATCATTAATGATTTTTCTAGTTATAATAAATAACTAAATGATTATTTTCTTAACATTAATAAACATAAATATTATCTTGAAGGTATTTAAAAGAATGAAAGTAAATTTGTATTAATTTTATATATTAATCTCTTGTTAAGTGACTATATTAAATGTTGTAACAGAAAAATGTACCTGTCTGAACTTTTATTTTTGTTTCGATCAACTACTTCTTATGCATGTAGACAAAAAGATAAAAATTCCCGTTATATTGTAAATTTTTTAACGATATATATTACACCACAGGCTTATCTTAGGCCTGAAGATAAACACCAGTAGATAAATGAAACTTCAAACATTATTCACAAAATAAATTTACCTTTTAAGTTACTGATAAAAATTCTTGATACATACGAAACAAAAAATAACTATGGATAGTATAATGTGTGAATAATCTGTTACTAGTAATCTATAATGTTTACAAAAATTCGAGTAAACGTACGTTGTATTTCGCCATTATAAGCTACCAGCCAGTGAATTTGAGCCTTGTAAAAAATTTACAATAATACTTATCACTCAAAGACATTTAGTTTAACACATCATTTATTGACTGACTTTCAATTTATAGTGGAAGCAACACGCTCGATCAAACAATATTACTTCTAAATAAAATATGACAAATTGTTTATAGAAAGCATAAACTAACCAGAGGTGTCATCATGTGCACGAAACCATTTTCCTTTATAAGATGTATTTTCAACGTTTCCTATCTTCTTTTTTCGAGCAACACGACTTTTCTTTTACATAAGCGAACACAACCGTAAAAATGTATTTTTATAAAATCCCGAGCAAATACAATAAGACTTAACTCTCGACTCTGTCAAGATAGCTCATATTCGTGACAGACGCTTATTTTCACAAATTTTTTACACTTTCATTTATAATAATCCTTGCACGATAATCTTAAACGCGTGAACCGGTATCACTTTTAATTCTAGTTTCTAAATAACCACTACTTATTTCCGGCAATTAATTATGATTAATTTTACATCGCGAAGCACTTTCACAACCGGCTGTGATATACCCGTGTCAACAACCCGTGAAAAATGATCCAAGATGGTCGTCACCCTTTTTAAAGATGGCGAACATGCATGGATCCTAGGGATTTTGATTATACGAAATTTCATATAGAAAAAAATGTTCTATTCCCTTTGTATATTCTGTAGATCTGTTACTTAATATTTAAATGTTTCACGATAACGTAGAATAATAAAATAACTTTAAACAAACGAGGTTCAATAACACAGTAGAACAAAGATCTTCTAAAGTTTCAAAAATGTATTTTTATGTATAGGTAAAAAATTGTTACCACCGCTATTTAAAATTCTACTATTTCGTATATTTAAGTAAATCTATATGTATCTTTAAAAAATATTTATATTTGAAAATAAGTACAATTTCTAGAATAAAAAGGATGTAATAACAAGAAAGTCTACTAGAATTGATTAGAACTTCGTCTTAGGGTTTTCAACTACAATCGTTTCTATCGATCGTAAGGAACACGTCATATAATGGACGCTATGGTTTATGCTTCCGTGAGGAGATAATCGTTTATTGTGCTTTCATAAAAAGAAACACGATCCCTTGTGGAAGTCTCTTGTGTATTTCGTGTAGAGAAATAATAGAAATAGTTGTTAAACGCATATGATAATTATTAAGCATTCTTGCGTGAGGTGCGAAGTGTGTTAGTGAAGAACGAGTGTGCACGTAAGTGTGTACGAGCTGCCTAAGGGGTTTATAACATCAAGGACTTATGTTTGCAAAACATGAACTATTTTAATAAAATCAATGACGAAAACGATGGTTTTGAGTATGTTTTGTGGTGCTGACGTTGCTATTAAAAATAATATCCGCAACGAACTTTCCTAGGCATAGCCTTCGCGTTTTAAAAGACTGCATAGAGACGTCAAACAAGCATGATGTGTTATTATCTGAGATGCAGAAAATCTCGAAGACTCCTCAACTTCCTACATTAAATAGGCTAAAAAAATACACTTTAGCAAGATCATCTGCTTATAATAAACTTTATGATAGACTTTTATGTACAAAGTTTGAAAGAAATACTCGTGTTCCATAGAGCAAAGCAACAAGGAAATCTCGACAGTTTAAAGCATATTTATTTTTAACTTATACAAGGACATTCATACTCGTGCATTGTTAAAAAAAAAAAAGAACTTTTCCTTTGCTAAACATTGTTTCTAATGAAACAAAGACTTTAGCACTATTAGGCATAATCTATATCTACTTGAAGCAAGAAGCACTTGAAGTCTTGCAGCAATAGTAGATATAAATTGAAAAACTCTCTATGAGACTTATAAATGTTTCAATTAAACTACATAAGGACAATTTTAACATCAAAGTTTTTGGCAAATGGACTTATTAATCTTTTACCACAGTGACTTTAAATCGGATTTCATGTGCAATCTTCTGAACTTTTCTTCTTATATACTAAAAATGTTGCTACATTATTTCCTACCGTGTAATTGTCATAAAACCTACAAGATCCATTCAAATATGATATTGTTCTTGGACAAGTATTATTGCATACTGGATATCCATCTAGTAAGCCCATTTTTATATTTGCGTTTCAGAAAAGGTTTAAAGGCGCCAGAACTGCATTGGTTTCACACAAGAAAACCCGAAAAATCCAGAAATACAAAGCCTGGATGACGGGACAAGTGACAACATACTTTTGAGCATTAGTGAAAGTGAACATCAAATAAAAAGTGAAAGTATGGACAATAATACCGACGGAGACAACTTAAATCTGAGCTGTGGGGAAAATGATATAGTGGATGAATTAAAAATTGCTGCAGATGAAACTTATGATACACGTAGTGAAGTTTCATCTAGTAGTTCAAACTCTGATTCTAGTCAACCCAGTATAAGCTCTGTTTCAACAAAATCCTCACGTGGAGATAATAAGCGTAATCGGAAAAATAAGGGGAAACGTGCTAGGTCGAGAGATTCTAAATCTTCTAGCCCTGAAACAAAACGTGCAAGATCTAAGGAAAGCAAAGGAGTTACTAAGAGCTATGATTATGCCACAAAATTAAATTATTTGTTTAGAGATGCAAGGTTGGCTATTTTTTAAAATACAACAATTTTTGCTTTTTTATACATACCATTTTTTCTATATACAAAATTTATATGAAATAGCATTTTCTGGAATTACATATGAGTGTATAGTTAAGCACGTTATTTTAAATGCCAAGAACATGTCTTAAAGTTTCTTTTATCAGATTTTTCATCATCAAATCAAACAATGCTGAGAATGTCACACTATCAAAGGCTAAAGGAGTGTGGAGTACATTACCACAAAATGAAGCCAACTTAAATCAAGCTTACAGGGAATCAAGAAATGTCCTGCTTGTTTTTTCTGTCAAAGAATCAGGAAAATTTGCTGGTTTTGCAAGACTAAGTACAGAATCTAGAAGAGATGGGGCACCAATTTCTTGGGTTTGTATATATAATTAAATAGAAATAAGTTTAAAATTTATCCTATATATTACTAGGAAGGAAGTATATATAAATTTTAGGTGTTACCACCTGGACTATCTGCAAAAGCTTTGGGTGGTGTATTTAAAGTTGACTGGATATGTAGGAAGGAATTACCATTTACAGCAACATTACACTTATACAATCCATGGAATGATGGTAAGCAAGTAAAAATTGGTCGCGATGGGCAAGAAATTGAACCAAGAGTTGCAGAAGAATTGTGTAGATTGTTTCCAGAAGATGAAGGTGAATTAAAGTATACAAATTTTTGTCAGTAAAAAGGAATACATTTTTTGTAATATACAGCAAACCTTTTAGGAATTGAAATGACTCCAATTTTGAGAAAATCTAAAGAAGCAGCAAAACATATTATGAAATCTCGTTCATACCGAGATAATAGACCTGTTAATAGCAGTTCAAGATTTTTACGTTCGAGGGGTGGTAGAGGACGTAGGCTTTTCTTAACTTCACGATCTCGTTTAGCTTCATTAGCTAGAGGATCTCATTTAGCTGGTAATGACCATAGAGGATCAAGAGATCATCACCATCACCGATATGCTACTTGGTTTAATCGAAGCGATTCTCCGTATTCCAAGTATGTATATATTTCAAAATGTCATCGTTATACATTTAATATATTGTTTGTAATAATTATGAATTTCACAGGGGATACGGTAGTCCAGGATTAGGTGTAGCTGCCGCAGCTGAAGCATATGTTGCGGATTATATGCGTACTATGCAACATCAATTGCCTCCTCTACCTCCTTATGCTGCACCTCATCCCTATGATTCTTTACCTCCACCACCACCGCCACCAAGATATTACGATGGTTTACCATTGCCACCTGATTATAGTGCAGCGGCGTCCGCACTTGAAAAGCGTAGTTATGAAAGAAGTGTAGATGAATTCTTATGGAGAACAGCAAGTCGACATAGTCGACACAGTGACCACCGATCCTCCCGTGATCATCACCATAGATATAGAGATCGTAGATAAAAAAATTTGAATATTATCTTCATCCATCTACTCTTTCCTTTCTTAATTCATGCACACATTGTAAGGGCTTTCGGGGTGTCGTGACATTTATAATCATGCAATAGTAAGTGTTTAACCATCACATGATTATTTGTATTAATGATACAGATAAAAATAATTCGAAGTTTTAATTGTATACATATACATTTGAACAGTGTAATTTTAAAAGCAATTAAAACACTACCGTTTTTTAATAAAATGATGAATTTAAAGAGCATCCGAGTGCTTCTTGTTGAATTGATTCACAATTGATTAAATCATGTATTACGTGCATTTAGTTTCAACGAAAAATAAGTTGTAATTTTTGTTAAATATAGAGTATCTACTCCCTATTTTTTTTATTATAATCAATTTAGACACTATTTATATATTTTTGTAACTTTTACACGTACTAATATTTTGCATATTTTTTTATGTATAAAAAATTCAATTGTGAATCAACGTAATCATAAATAGCATATGTTTTTGTATCAATTGTTGTTCAAAACTCCTTAATTGATCTTGGTAAGATGATTATATTGTTTTAATATAGATCACTGCCATTGGTAAAAAATTTTCTTTCGTCAGTAATTCGAAATAATTGAAATAAATACATTACTTAATGTCAATAATAGTCCTTTCATACAAGAAACTTTGTAAAAATAGTCAATTGAAAAAAAAAAGAAAGGATATTTTCGTCACAATCAACAGTATACATCACTTACAATTTACATATAAATATTAAATCATTAATATTAATTACAGAAACAGCCTAACACTATGAATATGTATGATCCTTGATTTATATAGAATGTTTTTGGCGCTATTTCGTAGTAAACATTAAAAAAAACAAAAGTTTTATTCCTTTTTTACCTTTCTAATAAGTATTATTTACTCGATTCATTTTACTTATTGTATGAGAAGTGAATAAGGCAAAGAAAAGAATATGAGTATTTATTTATACAAGGATAGCACTAGAGAAACGAGATAGACGGAAAGGAATAGGGTTAGACAAGGACAGAAAATTTTTCAGTCCAAAAATAACGCCATCTAGCGTTAAGTGATGCAAACTACGATTTCTTAACAGGATTAACGCATATCAACAGAGGTATTAGACAAGGATAACAATAGAGTGCGAGAAGGATAGAGAGAAAATGTTTCCTATTGGTCCACGGTCCGCAATGGCCGCCACCCAGACGCTGCATAAAGTTGGCGAGGGAAGAATCATTAATAACTCATTATTTACGATAATTTTGTGAACTTTTAGGATTGAAGAATGTAGTGTGGACCTTCAGCAACTTTCACATATACTGTTTAGTGCACTAGATCCTTTCAATAATTAGTTATTAACAATTATAGTACGTGATGTCGGGAACGATACCGTATACCGTCCAGTACCTTGATGGTTTTTCAATAATTTCATAGTTTTATACTAAATTCTCGTGCAAGTAACTACACGCATCTGAAAGGCAACTCCCTTAGCTACATTCTCATACAATTTTTATTAACATATTCGGTTTACTTTAGGAGTTATTAAATATTATATGGGAGAGTCCACCGCTCGTCGTATCCGAGTGCGCTCAACTGTTATAAACAGTTGCTAATATTTAATAAACCGCGTGACGTACGTTCACAAAAAGTATCGCAGAATGTAAAGGAAAGTCTGTACTATATTCTTCAATCTTAAAAGTACGCAAATTATCTCGCAATTCCACGAAATTGAATTAAACTGACAGAAGAGCGTTACGCTTGAATTCGACGAGTGTATCATTCTCCCCAATAATATTTAATAATTCTCAAGCTACGACGAATATGTTACTAAAAATTGCAGAAGAATGTAGCCAAGGATACTGTCTTTCAAATGCATACTGAAACGCGTACAGGAAATTATTATTAAACAACGAAATTAATGAAAAACCGCAAGTGACTGCCATGGCATATCGTATCGTTCCCGACGTCACGTACTAAAATTGTTAATATCTAATTATTGAAGGGACTTGGGGCTTTAAAAAATATATGAGAAAGTAGCTGAAGGTTCATACTACATTCTTCAATTCTAAAAGTTCACAGAATCATCCTAATTATTGAGTTATTAATAATTTTTCATCGGCATAGCGTTTAGGAGACGGAGTATGGCGGCCCGCCAGCCAATAGGAAGCGTTCTCTCTCTGTCCTTGTTGCACACTAGCGCTTTCCTTGTCTAATACCTCTCTTGATATCCTGTAATCCTATTAAAAAATCGTAGTTCGCGTCACCTAACGCTAGATGGCGTTAATTTCGGACTGAAATTTTTCTGTCTTTGTCTATCCCTATATCTTTCCTTGTCTAACACGTTTCTATAGTACTATCTTTGTCTAACTCATTTCTCTATCACTATCCTTGTCATCCCCATGGTATTTAATTGATGCTTATAATAAATATTTAATTGCTTTAACTAATAATACTAATACTAATAATGTAGGTAGCAAAATACAGTTTCCGGTTTATTTTCATGTACTTTAATTGTAGTAATAATTAATTTTTAGTTGTTAAATAACAATTTAAATAGTGGTTTATAATTATTGGAAGTATTAAATAAACTTCTTGCATGATTTAACTTAATAAAATAGATTAATTTATTAATTTTACATTAAATTAATAATTACACGTAGTAGATTAGTTAGAAATTGTTTATAACTTTTATTTAACATTTGGATGATAATATTCTTTGTGTGTAAATGAGAATCGAAACTTTCAGGCCATCACAGGAATAAAGGAATGGACTTAAACATCAGGAAATATGAGGAAATGCAATTATTTATCAAAAAACTATTCATTTATTGTAATATATACGTAAATTATTCCCATAAACATGGGGAATTAATAAAACATCTTTACGAAACGTGGCATCAATTCAGACACATTACATAAAAATTGTTAAAAATTAATTATCTATATCGTGTTGAAAGGTGCATATTTTGTTCTTCTAAACTAATAGTCTTTATCTTTCTCGCACTACAGTATATTCTCCACAAGTGTCAGACCGCAAGGAAGCTAAACCTGCCACTCGTAGAGTCAGGGACTACGTTTTCGAGCCTCGCGCCCGCCTTTGTAGTTTGCTGAACGTAGACAAGGACAGCGAATAAAAGATATGCATGAAACGTGTGTCGAGGCAACCAAGCGATTTAAATATCAACTTTTCTAATTTTACGTTTTTTTAACCCCAAATTTTTCTTAACATATTAATGAGATTTTTCTGATGAAAATGACATAAAACACGACATAATTTGAACAACATTTACTTATTAACACGTTCACTGTCGCGCCAGATGTACAGGTTGTTGTCAGGCGGCCACAAGAAAATACATTTTAAGCATAGGATTATAGTATTATGCTTTATAATTTTTTTTTTTCAATTGAAAATAATGTCTAGCTAGCTATGACGTTCAAAATTTTTAGTTGACAACATTTATTTTATTTTAATTATTCTAAACATTTGAGGCACTCCAGTCACTGATGACCACCATGACCATATCGAGGAAACAATCTAACGTTAAAACTTATTGAGTGATTAATTTAATTTCATAATATATCGCTTTAGCGAGCCACCGTTTGGTTGCCAATTGTTTATCACATAGTCGGCCTACCTCCACGTAAAAAAAAAAAAAAATGTAGGGTCGATTCCACAAGTGTCAGTAAAATGTAGGGTCGATTCGACAAGTGTCAGTAAAATGTAGGGTCGATTCGACAAGTGTCAGTAAAATGTAGGGTCGGCCTACATCCACGTAAAAAAAAAGAAAATGTAGGGTCGATTCGACAAGTGTCAGTAAAATGTAGGGTCGATAGCAGCAGAAAAGCTGCTAAACAATTAGAATTAAATGTAACGATAGAAATTATTGCAATAATGCGTAATGCAATTGAAATATTGAAAGAATCAAAAGAAAAAACGCGAATTCATATCTTTCTCGATTCTAGAATATAAGAAAATTTGAATAAAATACGCGACGAGAATTGGTGAGAAGCATAAGTTAAACGCGTCAAAATATTCAATAATAAACGAACTAGGGACGAGGCTATTATTTCAATACGCGATGCACTGACTCTAGTATTTACTAAAATTCAAAAATTCTCGCAT